TGAAAGTCAACTTCGGTCATTTCATGATCAATGTAAATAATATTTTCCACTTAATTGGTACCTGGAAAATGGTATCCTTCTTTAAGAAGGAAAAAAGATTTTCTGTGCAATATGGAGCCAGTTCAAGTACTCTTGAGGGTCTTACTGGAAGACATGATTTTGAACTTTAAGTGAATAAGAATAAGATGTAAGATTGGACATGTGTATGTTACAGTTACCTAACTGTTCACTCTTCTATAGCATTGCCCTCAAGGACATTACTGTCCCCTGATCTCCTTGTCTCACTGTGTATTTCTTCTCACCCTTGTGCCTTTTCCCTCTGCCTGGCCCTTAAATGTCGGTGGTTATAAGGGTTCTCTTCAGGGCCCTCTAAGCTTGAACTATACTTTTTTTCTAGGTGGCGTCAATGTCACTTGTGCTTTTAGCTATCACTCATGTGATGACAACTCCCAAATCTGTATCTTGCGTATTTGGTCTCCTTTTAAGACCTGTGTGTCACGTGGCCACAGACTTCTCAGTCGCAATGAAGTAAAAGACTTAGAAGTTTAATTGTGTCAACCAGACCTTCTTTTCCTCGGGTTCGCTATTTCCATGATGGTCCTACCATCACCCAGGCTCTCATAACCTGGGACTTTTCCTGGAATCTTTCTTCTCTTTGACTTGCTATTGTCAGTTAGACACCATGTCATGTCCAGTCTTTGTCTTTACCATTTCTTATCCTATACCTCACTGCTTCCTCCAGAGTACAGACCATTATCTTATCATGCCTGGATTATAGCACCAGCCTCCTGCATGCCTTTCTGTTTCATTCTTTTCTCTCATCCTGTACTTTACAGCAAGGTTGGGCTCTCCCAAATGTGAATTGGATTACTTTACTCCTCTACTTAAAGTGCTTACATGACCCCTCAGTGCCTTTAAATCAACCTCCAGACCTTTCTTAGCATGACATGTAAAAACCTTTTATGTTCTGGCTCCTGTCTGCGTCTCCTACTTCATCAGCAATTCACTTTCCTCCTTCCCTCACATCCCCACTCACAAGCCCCCACTTCGCTTGTACAGTGTTTTGTTGTTCAGTACTTGTAGTTTCCTACAGGAGGAATAGCCTCATGTTTCTACACACTTGCCTATGCCTGGCACATGCTTCCCATTTTGATTCTCTTGCCTGAATAATGAATACTCATTATTTTAAAGCAACTCAAATGTCAGCTTTTGCGGAAAGGCTTGCCTGATGACTCTTTTCTCCTAATCCAGGTTAAGGGTTTGTGCTGTGCTTTTTAAGCAGCATGCTCTTCATTTATCTATACCCTGACTCTGCTAGCTCCTTGAAGATAGTCTTTTATTCATGTGCCTAGGACTTGGCATATTGTAGGGGCCCATTAAATATAGGCTGACTGACTGAATGAATGTTTTTATGCTTGCCTATTACAAGTATGTAACAATTTAAAAGTTATTATTTTTTAATTGAGATATCACCCCTTTAAAGTTTACAGTTCAGTGGTTTTGAGTATATTCACAAGGCTGTTCAACCATCACCGCTGTCAAATTCCAGAATATTTTCATCACCCCCAAAAGAAACCCTGTACCCATTAACAGTTGCTCCCATTCTCGCCTCCTTCCAGCCCTTTGCAACCACTAATCTACTTCTTGTCTCTGTGGATTTGCCTTTTCTGGAAATTTTATACAAATGGCCTTTTGTTTCTGGCTTTTCTTTAGCATAATGTTTTCAAGGTTCAGTAGTCTTCCTTTTCAAGACTACTTAATTTTCTATTGTATGGATGTATCACATTTCGTTTATCCATCCATTAGTTGGTGGGCATTTTGGATTATTTACATTTTTTGACTGTTATGAATAATGCTGTTAGAAACGTTCATTTACACGTTTTGTGGTGAACATATGTTTTCATTTCTCTTCGGTATATACCTAGGAGTGGAATTGCTGGGTCATACAGTAACTTTATGTTTAATTTTTTGAGGAACTGCCAAACTGCTTTTCAGAGTGGCTGTACCATTTTACATTCTTGCCAGCAGTGTTCCAAAATTTCCGATAACCTCACCAATACTTGTTACTGTCTGCCTTTGATTATAGCCATACTAGTGGATGTGAAGTGGTATCTCATAGTGGCTTTGATTTACATTTCCCTAATGACTAATAATGTTCAGCATCATTTCAAGTTCTTATTGGTCACTTTTTCTTTGGAGAAATTCTACTCAAATCCTTTGCCCATTAAGAAAATTCCTTTTTTTGGTCTTTATTGTCGAGTTGTAAGAGTTCTTAGATATATGATATGCAAAAGGTGGTGAATAATATTTTAAGAAACAAGTATAGTACTGATACATGCTACAACATGGATGAACTTTGAAAATGTTATGCTAAGTGAAAATACCACAAGTTGTATGATTCCATTTATTTGAAATGTCAAATAGGCAAATCTATACAGACTGAAAGTAGTTTCGTGATTTCCATGGGCTGCAGGAAGGAGAGGCTGGAGAGTAACTATTAATGGTATGGTGTTTCTTTGGGGGATGATGAAAGTGTTCTAGGATTAAACAGTGGTGATGGTTGCACAACCTTTTGAATATGCTTAGAATCACTAACTGTACAGTTTAAAAGGGTGAATTTTATGGAATGTGAATTATATGTCAAATCTTTAAAAAGAAAAATCAAGTGTATTTTATTTTTTGAACTTTTCAAGTTTGTACCACTTTTGAAGATAGCTGTGAAATTTCCCATTAGTCAGGGTGCCAGGCCTTGGAGTATTTTTATCCTTGGCAAGAGAGGAGGCAGTGTGCTGTGTCTGCTATCCCTGCCTATTGTTTTTTTTTTTTTTTTTTTTTTGCGGTACGCGGGCCTCTCACTGTTGCGGCCTCTCCCGTTGTAGAGCACAGGCTCCGGACGCGCAGGCTCAGTGGCCATGGCTCACTGGCCCAGCCGCTCTGTGGCATGTGGGATCTTCCCGGACTGGGGCACGAACCCTTGTCCCCTGCATCGGCAGGCGGACTCTCAACCACTGCGCCACCAGGGAAGCCCTATTGTTTCTTATTAAAATTTTTTTTTCATTTTTTAATTGAAGTATAGTTGATGTACAATATTAGGTAAGTTATAGGTGTACAACATAGTGATTCACAATTTTTAAAGGTTATAGTCCATTAATAATTATTATAAAATACTGGCGATATTCCCTGTGTTGTACAGTATATCCTTGTAGTTTATTTATTTTATGCATAGTAGTTTGTACTTCTTAATCCCTTACCCCTATCCTGCCCCTCCTCCTTTCCTTGTCCGCACTGGTAACCACTAGTTTGTTTGCTGTATCTATGAGTCTCTTACTTTTTTGTTATATTCACTGATCTGTTTTACTTTTTAGATTCCACATATAAGTGATATCATACAGTATTTATCTTTTTCTCTCTGACTTATTTCACTTAATACCCTCCAAATCGATCCATGTTGTTGCAAATGACAAAATTTCATTCTTTTTTATGGCTGAGGAGTATTCCATTGTAGATATACACTGCATCTTCTGTATCCATTCTTCTGTTGATGGACACTTAGGTTGCTTCCACATCTTGGCAATTGTAAATAATGCTGCAGTGAACATTGGGGTGCATGTATCTTTTCAAATTAGTGTTTTGCTTTTTGGGGATATATATCCAGAAGTGGAATTGCTGGATCGTATGGTAGTTTTACTTTTAGATTTTTGAGAAACCTCTCTACTGTTTTCCACAGTGGCTGCACCAATTTCCATTCCCACCATCAGTGTACGAGGGTTCCCTTTTCTCCACATCCTCGTCAGCATTCGTTATTTGTGTTCTTTTTGAAGATAGCCATTCTCACGGGTGTGAGGTGATATCTCATTGTGTTTTTAATTTTATTTCTCCGATTAACGATGTTGAGCATCTTTTCAAGTGCCTGCCTGTTGTTTTTTTATGTCAGTGGTGCTACTGTTCTTCTAAACTCCCTCTTTGCTTGTGTAAAATTTAGACAGCCAGATACTTTGAGATTTAATTTCAATTTTGTTTTCATTAGTTATGATAGGATTGATTATTAGATGCATTTCCCCCCCACCCCTATGATGTCTTCATTTGGTTCAGGTTGGGACCCTTAGGTACTTTTCTTATAATCACATATACTAGGAAAACTGTCTGTGAGCTTGGGTGGGATGGAGGTTTGGAGTTTTGATTATAGTTTTAGTGCCTTTCTTAGAAGACTAATTTTTGCATTAGAATAGTGATGGTGAATTATGGGATTTAATATTGGAACAAAAAAGAAGATATTTTTGTTCCAGATTTACTTATCTCACAATTAAGCCCCCAACGCTTAAAATTCATTTTTATAATAACTAACATTTTAAAAAATTTTGGTTTTAATGTGCGAAATTGCAGTGAAATGTGTCTCAGAATTTTCTAGCATTATCAGTAACATTTTCATATTGTAGAATAAGGAATACCAAGCATAGAGAAAAGTAATTTTCCTTAAAAAATTGAATTTTCCTGAAAAAGTTGAAATTTTGGGGTGAATTATTGTTTATAATAGCTAGATGAAATCAAACAAAAGTTAATCTTTCTAGAGCTTTTGATGTTTTGAAGTTTTCTCTGTACAGAATCAGAGAATTAATTTTTTTTTAACATCTTTATTGGGGTATAATTGCTTTACAATGGTGTGTTAGTTCCTGCTTTATAACAAAGTGAATCAGTTATACATATACATATGTTCCCATATCTCTTCCCTCTTGTGTCTCCCTCCCTGAGTTAATTCTATTGTGGTGCTAGTTTTGGTTCTTTGATTCTGATAGAGAATTATAAACTTTAAGGGAAGCAGTCTCCTTTGTCTCTTGTGCTTCTGAACCTTCTTTTTCTAAATGTGTTTCCTCCCCTGTCATCTTTCTGCCCTTCCCCTTACCACCCTTCCTTACCCTGCCCCTTGCCTCCAAACTAAAACTGGGAGAGTTTGTAAAATAACCTTTGGTGATTTTGTTTTGTTTATAGAATAAGCTGTGACCATGACTACTGAAGTGGGCTCCGCATCTGAAGTGAAGAAAGAATCTGACCAGTTAGGAGCAGGTGCAACCAAGGAGAAACTGAAAGAAGTAGCAGAAAATCAGCAGAATCAGTCATCTGATGCAGAGGAGGAAAAAGGTTCCCAGTCACCTCCTCCAGCTGAAAGCCAAAGTAGTCCACGCCGCCAGAAGAAAGAGAAAGATCCATCTGAGAGCAGGGGGATTTCTCGATTCATCCCCCCGTGGCTTAAGAAACAAAAGTCCTATAACTTGGTAGTGGCCAAAGACGGAGGAGATAAAAAAGAGCCTACCCAAGCTGTTGGGGAAGAGCAGGTTTTAGACAAGGAGGCATCTCTTCCTGAAGAAGAAAGGCAGGCCAAGGGTGATGCTGAAGAAACAGCCCAGAGAAAACAGCAGGAGATCAAGGTCGACGTCAAGGAAGAGAAACCTCTGGTGAGCAGTCTGGAGACACAAGTGTGTTTGAGAAGTGATTGGAAGTGAAAGCTTTGATGGAGTAACCATGTTAACGAAAAGGATTTATTTTGAATCATTTTCAGTGATCTTATATTAAGATACTGCTTTGGCTTACTGTATCTGGAATATGGGTCTTAGAGGGTCTACCACAGCCCTCTCCTGTTACTCCTTTTAAAACTTTCAAAATAATAAAGCAAAAAAAAAAAAAAATCCCCTGTATATGCAGATCATAAAAAAGTCATATCTATTCATTTTAGGGTTAGGCAGGTACTCTCAGAATCCTTCTGCCTCTCCTTTTAAATAATATGCACTTTTGTATCTGATTTATTTAGGGGTTCAGTGGATAGGAAGTAGATTTGTATGTGTGTGCCTTTTGGTTGCCTGATGAAGCCTAGGTTTTGCCATGGTATGAAATTGTAATTAGAAATATTATTTGACATGGTATTTAAATTGTGGCTGCTGGGACGTAGTTTCTTTTACTCATTTAATGCTGACATTGCCAAATTGGCAAAATGAGAAAATTGGAGGTGGATTGGGGGAAAGAAAATGTAGGAAAATACCCCCTCTGGCAAAGTTTTTGAAGTCTTTTAGGCTCGCAGTGTTTATAACAATCACGGTTCTTACTTAAGATTTTCCTTTATCGTGTGTTGCCTTCTGCAAATTGGTCACCTTTAGTATGAACTTAATTTTTTTCCTCCACAGCCTGTTGAAGAAGTAAGCAAAGAGAGAGAAGAGGAGAAGGTAAAGGAAATACAGGAGGACAAATCGGATGAAGCAGCAAAAAGGGAGACAAAGGAAGTTCAGACCAATGAGCTAAAAGCAGAGAAGGCCTCTCAGAAAGCCACCAAGAAGACCAAAACCGTTCAGTGCAAAGTGACCCTCCTAGATGGCACCGAGTACAGCTGTGACCTGGAGGTGAGACCAGGAGCTGATAGGAGAACTATCTTGATGTGTGGAATGACAGGAAAAGTATTGACTGCCCTCATTTGTGGCCTGGCACAGTGAATAGATTTTTGTGTTCCTATAAGATAGTTTGTTGCAATTCTGCATTAAAAAAAAAAAAAAAAAAGGAAAACAAGAATACATAGAAGAGGGTCATCATTTCCATTAGAAACGATAGTTCTTCACCCTTAAGGGTAAGCAGGGCCGATGTTCTGCCAGGCTGCACTGGTCATGTGTATTGGCTGGTGTCTGTTGTGGGTGGGCATTAAATAGTTTGAATATTACCCATGGCCATAAGTGTTTCACTTGAGGAGAAACATTGCACTAGGTTGAAATTTCAGAGTAATGAAATTTCAGCAGTTTAATCCCAAGTGTTTTCATCCCGAGACAGATAATGATTTAAAATCTAGCTTATTTAATTTAGTTTCATTTAATTAAAAAACACTCTTGATTTGCAAAGCGTATAATTGATTAGCACTGATGCTGACCAAAGCCAATGTAATTTTTTAAAAGCATTTAATGCCTTATTTTATGACAGTCAAGAGAGCCTGTTGCTTTTCATAGCTAAATTACTTTATTTACATGATGTATACTAATAGCTAATGTTTACTGAAGAACTATGTGAAGAACTTTGAATGAGTTACCTCGTGTAATATTTATAAGATTCTGTATGAGGTAGGTATTATTATGGGTATTCCCATTGTAAAATGAGGGAATGTAAGGCTTTAAAGAGGTTAAATAACTTGCCCAAAGTTTCCCAGATAGTGGTTGAACCAGGATTCCAACCCCAGCAGTTTGACTGTGGAGGTCGTGAACCTGACTGCTGAACTACTAAGATGACTGCTTCATGGTCCATAACGTTTACCTTTGTATTAATTATGTAGAACTTAATTTTACTCATTTAGTTACAGTTGGTGTGCTATGTTAGTTGTTTTGAGAAAAGGAGTACAAAAGATGATTAAAAATCCTTAAAGCTCTCAGAGAGAATAATACAGTGTATCTCTCAGTAGTAGGGGTAGGGACAATAAAGAAACAGTAGAACTGTGTTCTGAACCTGACTCAGTTACATTGTTTTTGATCACATGTCCCTCATTTTTCCTACCTATCCTAGAAGTTAGGAAGTCTAGATTTTGAGAATCAACTTGTTGATAACTTGTTATGTGACCTTGAGTCACTTAGTGAACCTCTGTGGGTCAAACTGAGGCCCAGAAATTGACTTTATCTTTAGAATATAGGATTACTTAGATAATCTTGAAGGCCCCTGTCATCTATCACCAAAGCTCATGGTTGACCAATGTGCTTTATGGTTTAAATCTATTTTTGTTCTGTCATTTAAAAAAAGTCATGATATTTTTAAAAATACAAAAATATAAAAATAATAGGAGAGCTGTATATTTATCATTAAAATTTTAACCAGATGTCACCATTTAGCCGTGTGTTTTAGATATTTTTTAAAAGAAATAAAGCATTAGGGCTTCCCTGGTGGCGCAGTGGTTGAGAGTCCGCCTGCCGATGCAGGGGACACGGGTTCTTGCCCCGGTCTGGGAAGATCCCACATGCCACGGAGCGGCTGGGCCCGTGAGCCATGGCCGCTGAGCCTGCGCATCTGGAGCCTGTGCTCCGCAACGGGAGAGGCCACAGCAGTGAGAGGCCCGCGTACCGCAAAAAAAAAAAAAAAAAAAGAAATAAAGCATTAAAGATATTGCTAAAGTCTTATTCCCATCTCTCTTTCTCTGCATTTGTCTTTTTATCACGTGTAAATCTACTTTATTCATTTTAACTGCTGTATAGTATTCCTTTAAATGACTAACCCATTTTCTCTTATTCCCCTGCTGAGGCATAATTTCTTTTATACAGTATAACAGTCAGTGCTTCAGTGAACATTATTATATATGTTTCTTTATTTACTTGTGCAAGAGTTTCTGCAGGGTAGACACCTAGGAAGGGAATTGCTAGGTTGCTAAGATGCTGTTTTACTTGTTTAGTTTTCCCAGATATTGGCAAAGCGGTCTCCAAAGTGGTTGTGACAATTTAAATTCCAACCAGCAACCACTGTTAGATTTTTCCACATTGTCATCAGCACTTTTTGTTATTAGAATGATTAATTTTGACCTATCATAATGGTGTGAAATATCGTCTCAAATTTTTAATTAGCATTTATTTGATCACTGTCAACTTTTACTAGGTTATACAATAAAGACAACAATAGCAATAACAAACAACCTCCAAATCTTCTGGACTTAAAATAACAATGGTTTATTCCTTGCTCATGTTATATGCCCTTGGTGGGTTGGCTGTGGGCTCTGTTCCATGTCTTCTTGAGTTTTGGACCAAGATTAAAGGTGTATCCTCCACCTGGGAAATGTTGGCCTCACAATAGAGGGGAAAGAAAACATGGAAGAACCACACTATAGCTCTTGAATCTTCTGCTTGGAAGTAGTATGTACCACTTTCACTTTCATCTCATTAAACCAAGCAAGTCCTGTGGTTAAGGTTGATGACAGTAGGTGGGCAAGTATGATCCTGTCACAGGAAGAACATGGTAAATAATTGAAAACATGGAAATAATCCTATAATTTACAACTCAGGAGGCTGAGCATCTTTTTATAAGTTTTGTTTACGTTTCTAAGACTGCTCTAGGATTTTTAAAACTAGGCATTCTTTCTCAGATTAAGGATATTCTTTTCTTAGTTTCTAAGACTAAACTAGAAAGTTTCATGAATAGGTGGTGAAAGACATGAATAGGTAGTGAATCTTATCTGATGTATTTTCTGCATCAACTGAGAGGATCATATGTTTTTGTAATCTGTTAATGTTGTAATTTACATTGTTTTCTAGCATGAAGCTGTCTTTGAATTCCTAATATAAATACTACTTGTTCATGATGATTTGGCATTGATTTTGTATTTTTAATTTAGGGTTTTTGCATATATTGCCTTTAATTTTCTTTTATCAAATTCATCAGATGTTGTTATCTGGGTTATATACTCTCATAAAGTTGCTTCCCTTTAGTATTCTCTGGAAAAATTTGCCTAAATTAGGGATTTAACTGTTCTTTGGAGATCTGGTAAAAACTTGCCTTTAAAACTGTCTTGGGGAGGACTTCCCTGGCAGTCCAGTGGTTAAGACTCCACGCTTCCACTGCAAGGGGCACGGGTTCGATCCCTGGTCGGGGAACTAAGATCCCGCATGCCCCGCAGCATGGCCAAATTAAAAAAAAAACAAACAAAAAACTGTCTTGGGAAGAATATTGTTGGGAGTTTTTTTTTTTTTTTCCTTTAAATCATGGGTTTGATTTTCCAATAGTCTGTTTCTGGTTTTCCTTGAATAAGTTTCAGTAATTCATATTTTTAGTGGAACTGCCCATTTCATCTAACTTGACAAATCTGTTGGTATGAAGTTGTTCGTAGTGTTCTCATCTTGTACCTTTGATTTTGATTCATTTTTAATTTCTTGTGTTATTTGTGCTTTCTTCATCATTCTTGCTATAGAGTTAACCATTTTAATCTTTCAAAGAAGCAGCTTGGTTTTATTTGTTTCTTTTCTGTTTTGTAACATTTTGTTCTTTATTTTATCCTTGAGTTTATTCTGTTTTTTCCTCCAGTTTCTTGAGTTGAATATTTGGGGAAAAAAAAAAGTATGCTTTATGCTTTCATGGCTCTAATTTTCCTTTCAAGTACCTCTTGTTGAATGCTAAGTTTTGAAATACTGTACTTTTAATTGCCATTCAGTTCTTCATATTTTCTCATCCCATTATGGTTCAACTTAAATTGGTTGGAGAAGCAGAGGAGTCTTTTATTTCAATGACTGTATTAATTTACAGGTTGTCTTTTTAGCTAATAAGTGATTAGTTAATATACCATTTTAAGAATGAACTTTTGAGGATAATAGATAAATTTGAAATAAGCTTGTAGCATATAAATGTTGTGTAAACTTTTTTTTTCCTGTCAAGTACAAAGCAGAACGAAATTTGAGTAGACTTAAGTGATGTGACCGCACAGCAGATTTTATGCTCCTGGAAACCTAGGCAGTGACTGTATATTTGACCAGAGGGTGAAGTTCATCAGTGTCACAATAGTTGTTACAATGCAGGCGTTATAAGTGGTATTTCCTCTTTTGATTAATTTCTCTTTTATCCAGTTCTCCTTCCCATCTAGGTTCTTTGAGTTCTTAGTATCATTAGAATGGGTCTGATACTGATCAGACTGCTGTTACTTCCTCATCAGGAGCAGAGCCCAAAGAACAGCCATCACGTGTTTTGAGCATGCTCTTGTTTCCCAGCTCCAGTACTGACCTTAGGCAGATGGAGTGATGTGCTGACGCTGCTTAGCTGTCGTTCTGTAGCTCTGTACCGGAAACGGGTGTTTGAGGACTACTGGGGGGAAGTATGTTGTGGGAAACTGTGACTGTAAATGAAGTTGCAAGTACTTAAGGAAGTGAATACAGTGTGGGAAATAAATACTTTTACTTTATTTGGTTGGGGAGATTAGATTTGTTTCCACCTGTTTACTGTCATTAAAAATGATAAGTATGTCTTTCATGGCTTCTTAGAGGCCTATAGTTATTGCTTGCTGTTTTTGTTTCTGTATGTACATGTATCTAATTTTTAATTAGATTTTTAGGTTGTAGCATGCCCACTGAAGAGGGCCTAAATGTCTTCACGTGGGGCACCTACAACAGTAGAGGGAAGCATGGCCTGTACAGGAGGTCTTGAGGAGTTAGAACAGCCTGACTTATAGGGACCTTGTAGAGTAGGATGAAGTTCTACAAGGCGAGAAATGCCAGGATAAGATGATTAAAATGGATCGATAGAGCAAAAAGGAGCTGGAAGAAATGGATCAGAGGTTGTAAAGTTATTAGTATAAAAGACCTGGCAAGGTCAAGAATGCTATTCGATATTAGAACATGGCTGCAGTAATTTAAGGGGGACTTTTTTTTTTTTTGCGGTACGCGGGCCTCTCACTGTTGTGGCC